CAGTGCAGCATGGGCTGCTGAGAAAAAGACTTTTGAAATCTCCAAGAAGAGATTTTGTATGGAAGGATATGCAGAAAGAAAAAAGCAATCTGAGGAGTTGTTTTCAATCATGTTAACTCCCCACTTCGTAGCAGGGTGGTCTCCCAGCTCATTTCCCAGAGCATGTGTAATGGCAGAAATCCCTGCTGCTCCCCTCGGGCAGTGGGGCACCGAGGACATGCCGCTGCTTGCACAGCTTTTCTCTGCAGGTGGAAGCTTGTTCTTCCTTACAGAGGTGTTTTGTTGCTGAACTGTTGGTGGTTTCAGCTTTCACAGACTGGGTGGGAAAGTCGCCGTTTCCACCAAAGGACACCAGGCAGCTGTGGCTCAGCAGAGGCCAGGGGAGGTGGCAGCCAAGGGAGAGCTGCACTGAGCGACTCCCTTGCAAAGCCTAGGAGCCATGATGCCTCTTTTCCTTCGTGCCCGCAATCGCTCATAGGTCTTGCTGCAGACACCACACTGGTTTCATGCAGTCCCATCAGCTTGGAGCAGGCACGGCAGCTTGTGGGACCTTGGGACCCCGTTCAGACCCGCAGGTGGCACCGTGTGTGGGCGCATCGAGCCGCACTCAGTCCTGGGCATCGGGGCACAGGCGGGGGCTCAGAAATGCTCCTGACATCTGCGCTTGTGCTGTGTTGGGGGTCTGACCCCTCAGCGCTGGTTGATGCTAGAGATGAGAAACAGCCTAATTTTAGCTCTCTACCTTGAGGCCCCGCATTGCTGGTTGCCATGGTGAGCCCGCCACCGGCACTGCCGCTGGCTTTCTCGCCCGCGGGTGCCTTGGAGATGTCTCCTCTTCCTCCTTGCTCCCCGAGAAGCAACAGCTGAGGCAGAAGCAGTCCATGTGGCTCACTGCACTGTCAGTTCATGTCTTCTGCTTGGCACTTGCCCATTCGCAATGCAAGAACCCTTTGTCCATGGGGTTACACTTGCCAACCCCCCCCGACAGCGGCGTGCATCCCCGTCCCCATTGGGGGGACGGTCTGGGCTGTGTACACGAAGGAAAAAAATCAGTTTCTGGCCTGTGAGCTGTGGTGAACAACTTTCTCTGTGGTCTTTGCCCGAGAAGATGACTGGGGAGGTTGTGCCCCTGTGAAGGCTGCAAGGTGAAGAGTCGGGAGTGACCCTGTGCCATGGCAGATGCTCCGGAGTCCAGATGCTCCTACCCTGGCTTTGTACTCGCTGCTTTTACACCTTCCCCTTTGCTCTCTGGGTAGAGGAGGAATTAAAAGCATTGCCCAAACAGAGAGAGCTTGGGCATCTCACTGGAGGTGGAAGAGAGGAACTGCTTTGTCACAGCTTGTGGTGTAAATGCCACTGTGCAGCAATTAATAACGACTCTCTGCCCTTTCCCTTCCGCCTGCCCGAGCGCATCGTGCACGGGGATGAGTGACCCTTCCCAAGCCTACAGTGACAGAAAAGGCAATGGCAGCTTGCAGGGAGGAAGCAGTGTAAAAATCGTGATTCCAGCCCCCCCAAATCCTGAGATTAATTTAAGGGTAATGATACTGAAAAAAAGACAGGAGTCTTTTTTGTCTGTGACCTTGCATTTAAACCTTTGCAGTTTGTATTTTCAAGCTTTTACGTGGTAGATGCGAGGACGAGCTATTTAATATTGAAGTGGCAGCCGCCATCCCTGCTTACTCACATGACTCCAGCAGATGGAGCTTTATAAAAAGCAAACATGACAAGGTCCAAGGTAAGATCAGAATATCTGTCACAAGAAACTAGTTTGGCTGGTAGTGTTTGGGAGGTCGCCAGAGAATCCAGAGTGAAGATGATAAAGCTTCATTCGCAGACCCCCACCGTACTCGTCCGTTCATTGACCACCCACTCCGTTACACTCCCAGTTACGCACAGGAGACTCGGGCATTTGCTGGGAAGGTGGCCAGGAGCTGCTAGAGAGAGGTCCCAGCCTGTGGTATGCCATGAACCACCTTGGAGCCGTGTGGCTGTACCAAGCGGTAGCAGTGGCAACTGCTAACTTCATCTGTGTGCAGACTGGCGGAGGAAAGTATTTCCTGGCTCCTGGAGGAGGTGAAGGCAGGATCTGCAGCGGCAGCTGCTAACACCTGGCAGAGGAGCGCACCTTGACCTGCAAAGCAGTCGCAATGGGTCAGGTTGCAGGTGCAGGGTGGGGTGGATGTAGGGTAGGAGAGGTGTTGTCTGATGAAAGGAGGAGGTGAGGGTGTCAGGGATTTTGGGAGGGGGCCTACGAGTAGAAGAGGCTATGGTTTGTAGGTTGTAGATGGCGAAAGTACGGTTTGTGGGGTGAGCGTTGCATGGGTGGGGGGCACAGGGAGCTGAGGGAACGGGGGTGGAGGCTAGAGCTGCTGTCAGTGAAGGTGGAGCCAGCACCCAGCCTGGTAGCTCCTGCCACCGTCGCTGCTGCTGGGAGGGAGGATGAGCAAGCTGGGTCTGAGAAATGCTGTGCCAGAGTGAGAGGGCAGGCAGGCAGAGCAGCCTGATTCCTTTCTTTCTCTGGCAAACCCCTGGGGTGGAGGCACCCATGCTAACATGGGGCAGCTGGCTCTAATCCACTGCCAGCCTAGTACGGCTTAAAGCAACAAGAAGCAACTGGCAAACGGTATTGCTTTGTTTAATAAGAAAAATAAGAGTAACATGGCTTGTAGCCTGCCAGGAGGCAGGTTGTCTTCAGAGACTCTTCTGGTGGTGTCACCCTGCCATCATCCCCAGCCCAAGTCCCAGTGGAAGAGGTGCAGGATGGCTCCTGGGCTCTGGCACTACTGGTGAGGGAGCTGTGGCCAGGACAGCCACGTCGTGGGTCTGGTTTCCAGGGAGCCAAGCTGGGTCCCTGTGGACGCCTGCCGAGGCCGGCTGTGGTTGTAGCAGTGCCGTAAGACTCAGCCCAGGAGGGCGAGAGCCAGGTCTGGCATTGGTGGGCACGGCCGGGAGCTCGCTGCTGGCGGTCCTGTGTGGCCGTGGGTAAGGAGAGGGAGAGTACTGCCATCTATTGCCAGGCGCTTGGTGCCTGACAATTTACAGACCTTGGGGGGTGGTGGTTCAGAGCTGTGTCTAGCTCTTTTTTTTTTTTTTTCTGGTCTTTGTCTTGGTGAAGGGATGGGCACGTTGTTCAAAGCCCTTTAAATGGATCAGCACTTAGGTGTCTATGGTGCATTTTAGGTGTGTGAGTGCCCTATTCAGACTCCAGACTGGAAGAATTTTTTCTTTCTTTGTGCTTTTTGCAAAATGAGTTATACTTTCTTTCCCGCCCTAAGTTGTATTAGGTTGCTTTGTGTGATGAAGCACTCAGGTTGCTCCATCCCACCTCAGAAGCGCCTAGGTCATTTACCCCAGCCTTCCACCAGAAGGCAACTGAAGAGAGGAGGATGCAGCAGAAAGGGCAGAGTGTCTTTCATAGCTCAGAAACAGCATGTGAAAGGAGGACGAAGGTGGAGAGGGAGGATAACAGACTGTCTTCATGCGGTGAGCAGGCCTGGGACACAGTGTATGGGACACAGCTAAGACTGGTGTGTCCGAATACTATATTTTTATTTTACAGGATAAGCAGCAAGATAGGAACATTTGCAGAGAATAGGAAAGGTGTTTGTTGCTATGTGAACCTGGAGGGAATCCTGCAGTGCTTTGAAAAGACCTTCTTGGGCTTGATGACTGTGCAGTAGGCGACCAGAAAAAATATTCTGAAGACTAAGGCAGGGTCATTCAGAAAATGATGTGGCTGTCACTGTGGGCTGTTCAGTAAAGACAGCAACTCACTGTGAAATTGTGGTTTAAAGGCAAAACAAGAAAAAAAAAATAAAATTAGGATAAAGAAGCAACAGGAGGAAAAAAAATGTGCTTAGCATTTGTCATTATGTATATCAATAATGCTTGCTCCTCAGGCAAATTCTGCTGCTTTTTGATCACCTACTTTCAAAAGTATATGATGGAGGTACAAAGATACCAGAAATGAGCAGAGGTTAAGAATAATACTCAGATGAGAAGGGGGGAAAAAAAACCCTTTGTGTATTATAGAGAAGAGTCACAGCAGATGTGATTGACCTATCCCTCTGATTACTTTACATTCCTCAGTCTTCTGTCTCTGATGCAAAACTGTTGAGGAAGCCAGCTGGCTAGCCTGAACCAGATACTTAATGTACAAGTGGAAAACGTTAGATGAAATGAGAGTCACAAAGGAAATTATGACAATGCAGGTAATTAAACCAGGGTCTCCAAGGTCTGAACCCCTGGAACCGTCTTTTCTTTTAAAAGTCTAAGAAAATAAAGGCATTAAACGGATAAAAGTAAATGGTAGTTTTATTGAAAACGTCATTAACCTGTGGAAATCTTCCCTGTGATGACTTTGGCTAGGAGAAAACTGTAAAGCATATAAATTGTGCTGCAGGGCGTAAGTCAAGTGCTGGCTGTCAGGGACCAGGAAGAAATCATCTTTGTGAGAAGGTTACTGTATAATTATTTATGACAATGTTTCTTCCTTTGAAGTGTTTAATCTTGACCAGTGGAGGCAAGATAATGGGTCACGTAGTTTTGTGAAGTTTTTTTTGTGACAGGGGTGTTATCTGGTGCCTGATGGTGATTTCTTCCGCCTGTTTGGTATCACACCTTTCTCCAGGGTTATGTTCACCTTCTTAAATGTCTTGAGCAAAGACATTTTTGCTCCCTGCCCTCCATGAAGAAGATTTTGAAGACAGTAGTCTTGGACATGAGCAAATTATTCTTGCCATTCGTGGTAGACTTCCTCTTGCTCCTGCTTGCTGCAGTTCTCCCAGGTGATTTTCTGGGAATGACTTCAAGGAAGCCCTCTATTGCTGGGGCGGTAGCCCTTGCTCTTGTGCCTGTTCCTGGTTATTGTTTGAGCTGTCCGTCTATTGCGGTCATGTCCTTCTATAATCTGTGCCTTGGTGCTTTTTGGTCCAGTCTACAAGTTAAATGTGGTTGTTTTTTTTTAAAGCTGTATTGCTGCTCTTCTGAGTAAATTGATGTATTTTGTGTCTCTTTGTATCTTGCAGGAAGAGCCAAGGAGCAAATCCAAGATCTGTGCCAATGTTTTCTGTGGAGCTGGGCGGGAGTGTGCAGTGACGGAGAAGGGAGAGCCAACCTGCCTCTGCATTGAGGTATGGGGGCAGCACAGGTTCTGCATCTGGGACAGGTATCACCGCCTGGCTGGTCTTTGGTCGCTGAAAGGATCCCATGATGAGATGAAGCTATGGCTCTTTTCGAGCAGCTGCAAATTCACAGGGGATCTTCAAACAGCAGGGCCTTTCCCAGTGTGGTGCGGGTGAAGAGCCCTGTAGGGTAGATATTGTCTGGGGCTTGCAGCTGTGCTGCTCACACAACTGCCTAGGGTCTTTACACGCACAGGAGACTTGACTGGAGGTCTTTTGTTGGGAAAGCCCAGTAGGGTATTGATACACAGCTGGGTTTGGAGGAGCTCTAGGGAGTGGTCTGCAAGCTACAAGATAGCCTGCCCTCACTGGCATCTTGTTTGAGGCGGTTACAAGCACCCTACTAAAAATCAGCTTTTGTAAAATGGAAATAATTGTAGTAGAGTGCTGTGAGAATGAATAGCTTCATCCAGCAGGGAGCCAGAGATGATTAGAAGAGTCTTTCCCGGCTGTAAAGACACAGTGCCTCCCTACTCCACTCTGCCCTGTGCTTTCAAACCTGGGACTCCTGGGAATGGGCATGTGGCTCTTTGTTCCCACTTCCCTGGGAGCCTGCAGCTCTGACATGGCCAGCCTGGGCACTGGGGAGTGAAATGCCCCGTTAGCAGGAAGAGAGTCTGTCACTCTGGGTAGGCATGGCCAGACTGAAAGGGACGGGAGGAAGAAGCCCACAGCCTGACCAGTGGCACTGGTGGACTTCCCTCTGCTGTAGGCTGTGCTGTTTGCTCGTGACTGCAGGCTTATTCTGCATTTGATTGCAGAAAGGTGGAGCAGAGTCTACAAAGAGGTGCAACAGAGCTGAGCAAGCAGAGGTGCACAGAACAGATTCACACAAACACCTCTGGGCTGGCACATCCATGGCACACACAGCAGCAATTGCAGGATTACGCTCAGTATTTATGCTGGGCACTGATTTCTCTGCTGGGCTCTGCTTTCAGAAAGGCTTCTGTCCTGGTGGTGGTGACAGAGGCTGCCATAAAATGAAGCCTTTGAACCTGCACCCACAGACTTCCCTGTGCAGGTTTTTCTGGGGTGATGACGGGTGGCTTCAGCCTGTTCCAAACACCTTTTGGGCCAAGGGGGCTGTGCCAAGGACTTCTGTTGAGTTGGGCTGATGCTGGGGCTCACCTGCCTCCCTCTAGCTGTCCTGAAGAGGCAAGTAAAATGCTGTCTTCTCTGGCTCTCTCACAGCAATGCAAACCTCACAAGAGGCCTGTGTGCGGTAGCAATGGCAAGACGTACCTGAACCACTGTGAGCTGCACCGTGATGCCTGCCTCACTGGCTCCAAGATCCAGGTGGATTATGATGGCCACTGTAAAGGTAACCCCGGCGATGAGGGCCGGCCACACTTTAAGGGAGGGAGAGTCGGAAATCAAGCATGATAACAAGGCAAGGCAGAGGCTTCACCAGCCAGGGCCTTGTCCCACAGTTGCTGAGCAGGGTGAACAGGGCAAGCCTGGGAACGATAGCCAGGTTCAACCAAGGGTCCAGATCACCAGGCAAGCTTGTGGTGATTGAAACAGACCTGAAGTCAAGCCGTGAAATCGGGTCTGGTGATGGTAACCAGAATCAGGCACAGGCCGGTAATTGCCAGATAAGTCTGTAGTGATGCAGCCTATAGCAGGTCTGAGATCAAGGTGGGAAGACAGTCACCAGGTCAGGACCTAGATCAACAGGGTCTGTGGCAGGTATGGGAATGGTTGCAACAGTGCTGGAGATGGGCATACCTACAACATAATCCCAGGCAAGGACTAGGGGCTGAGACATCAGCTGAAATGGAGCCCCTGGGCTCATGGGTAGAGAGTGTGGCTGGAGGCCCTAGGTGAGGTTGGCAGGGCCATTAAAGCCCTCATTAGTGCACTCAGAGCCCTGACACCTTGATTGTGGTGGGATCTTGGAGTTACTGTCTCCTTGAGTTGCTGGGAGGGGGGCACTCAGGAGAGCAAGGCAACTCCTTGCTCCTGCCTGCCTCTCTCTGAGCTTGTGGACTCAGCCAGGGAGGTGTCTCAGTCTACCTGCTGAGGAAAGGTCAGACTCAGGATAAACCCCCAAAGCCCGTACTACCATCCATGTTCGTAAGGGACCTCAAGAACTTTGGGAGCAAGGATTTTGCCTCAACAGTAGGGCTCTTTAACTCACCCCACCAGCCACACAGTATAAAAGTGTTTCCTTATGTTCAGACAGAATTTCATGTGTTTAAATATGTGCCTGCTGCCCCTTGCCCTGTCACTGGACACCATGGAAAAGAGTCTAGCTCGGTCTTCTTCATTCGCTCCCATCAGATTTATAAACATTGATGAGATTGCCCCTGAGCCTTCTCTTCTTCATGCTGAACAGTTTTCAGTCTCCCCTTGGGGTGACAGACGTTCCAGTCCCTTAATCATATTATGTGGCCCTCGTGTTTCCAAAGACTTCCAGGTTTCTCTGCTCTTGCCCAAGCAGCACCCAGCGTGGTAGAAGGTTCATATTGCTTCATGTTGTATCAGAAATGTCCTCTTCTGTCTTTCCATTAACAGAGAAGAAGTCTGAGAATCCAGCTGCAAGTCCAGGTAAGAAGCCATCTGCTTTCTGGCTGGGGCCTCTCTATGCATTTGGGAAAAGAGATGGGGAGGAAGGTCTGCTGGGGGAGTTGCACAGCTGTGTGTAGAAGTCATACCTCTGCGCTGGCTGTAGCAGAGTCTGAGTTGATAAATCAGCTGAAATATGATTGCCCAGTTCTTTACTCCTGGGTAACCTTTCAGAGTTTAGACATCTCCTGGGCTCTTCACTGTCCTGGGATGTCTCAAGGACTCGGCATGGACAAGGCTCAATGAAACCCAGTTTGCCCCTAGGGATGCAAGCTGTGCACATCACCCAGACTGAGGGAAAAAGCACTCTTTTACCTAGTTCGTTGGGGATCTAAGACACAATAACTGTGGAGCTGTTTCCCCAACTCCAAGAGCACTCTTTTAAAAAGGGACTTTGCCTTAGGAGTGTTTAACTGATGGGCACAGAGGCAGAGAGGCAGCATTACTTAATGGATGGGGCATTGTCAGGGGAGTCAGGAGGTACAGCTGCACTGCCTCTCCCATCAGCCAACAAGATGATCGAAAGGTCTTTTCCAACCTAAATGATTCTATGATAAGTCTTTTTGATCCCCTGTGCCTGGTTTCTCCTGTTATGCATTGCCATGTGTACTTAGACTATGGATTTTGGGGCCGTGGCCTGTGCTTCATCAGGGGACCCTTTTCCCATCCATGGCCTCTAAATGCTGGAGCTATATAAACATCAACTTCAACTTCCTAGGGCAGATGAAAGCAAACCCTCATACAAGCTTAAGGGAAAGGACCATGTTGGAGCATCGCCACCACCTTAAAGCAGTTTTAACGAAGTTCAAAATTAAACATGCAGAGTCTCTATGGGTTTGGGGTTTTTTTGTCTGTCTGTCTAGTTGTGATTGTAGTCACTGGATTCAGAAGGAGATCCTTAGTGTGTGTAAGTGACATGAATGCACACTGATTCTCCTTCTGGCTCCATTGACCTCTGGGCAGGTGCGACAACTCATCTAGGCTCTCAGTTTTGTTTCTAAATGCGTGGTTTGGTATTAGCACACAAAGTGATATCCACCTAGAGAAACCTGTGACTCTGGAGAGCACTGTCAGCAAGCCCAACTTGACCCCCTCTCATTTCCAGGCAGAGTGGACAAGTCAGGGCTTTGAAGAAATGAAATCTGCTGAAATTGAAGTCTTGGGGACAGCATGATGGGAAGGCTTGCTCAGTTTAGTCTTCGCCCTTGCAGAGGATAGAGGCTGTGGTATTTGAGGGCTGATGGCCCAATGCCTGTTCTGCACAGCGTCAGGAAGCCTGGAGACACTGTCAGTCACCTTCCTCCCTCAGCCTGGGGACTCTCCACACCAAGATGAGTCAGCTCTGGGTTGTTCTTCCACAGGCTTCGGGGATGGGAAGGCAGAGGAGCTTTGGCAGGAGTGTCGTTTTCTGGCCTTGCCACATGGTGTCACCCACCGCCCATCCGCCGTTCAGCACATGGCACCTCTGCTTTGATCTGGCAGTGGCACATCTCCAAGGATGAAGGGACCTGCAAACTGCCGTCAGGGCTGGCTGGCTGGATTTTATTTCCAGTCCTCTCTCTGTGGTCTCCCTGCCAGCTTCATTTCTCTCATCCTTGCTTTTTCTGCTACGCCTTTTTCCGTTACAGTTGTCTGCTACCAGTCGGACAGGGATGAGCTTCGTCGTCGTGTCATCCAGTGGCTGGAAGCTGAGATTATCCCAGATGGCTGGTTTTCCAAGGGAAGCAACTACAGCGAAGTCCTGGACAAGTATTTCAAGGCAAGTAGAGCTGTGCCTACCTCAGAGTCCAGAGAACGTTTCTTGCCCTGTCACTGCAAAACAGCTGCCATGCCCCGACCCAAGAGGCTCCGGTGTGCAATGTGCCCATTGAGCTGAGGGCCAGAGAGGTCTGGTATGTCCTGCAGCTTAGTGTGTTACAGGCTGCCTGCAGGCTGACGGAGCCACTGACATGGCTGTGTGACAACCCAGACCTGGAGCATCCCTGGCTCCCGGTGTCTGACCTGCCCTGGGGAGGAGGAGGAGGGCAGGTCAGGTATGCCTGTGACAGGGGAGAGAAGAACTGATCTCAGGGGACAAAAGATAGCCAGAGGAGAAAAGGTGGGTGAAAGTGCTGAAAATACAGGTAGAAGGAGCAGAAAGCTGGGGCGGCAGCTGCCGATCCTTTGTTCCCAACAGTGCCAAGGCCATGTTGAGATGGGGATAGGTGACGCTTGGGGGCTTCAAGGGGAATATTTGCTTGCAAGGAGTATGGCCTAGTTGTGGCTGAGAGCTGGCAGTTCCCTAGTGCTCTGCAGAGAAAGAGGAGCTGCCCATGAGCCTTGGGCCCTGCAATAACCCCATTCTTCTTCCCTCCTCTCTGTCAGTCTGTCCCTCAGCCCATCCCCACCCCCTTTTGTAACCAGCAGATCACACACTTCTCCCATGCTCCAGCCACATGCACTGCTGCATCCCTCCCCCTCACGCCTGGCTCCTGATAAAGACTTCAAAGCATTCAGGATGAAGCTGGAGGAGCAGGTGGGAAAAGGGGGAGAGTATTTAAATCATAAGCTGTTGACAGAGAGAAATTAATGGTGCCTGACAGGAGTTAGCACCGCAAGCAAATTTGCCATGGCAATGGCACCCCCTGGTGCGACAGAGGCGCTGGTCCCTGCACTCCAGAGAGCATCTTCTCCTTTGTAGCCATTAATGCTGCTCTGTCTGTGGAAACCCGCTTGTGGCCCACTGCCTGGGGCACTCCCGCCGGTGCCTGCCAGTACCCGAAAGCTGCAGCATACTGTGGAGCGGAGCTGCTCAGTCCCTCCCCCTGCAAACGTGCTGTCCCCAGCTGCCTTGGCAGAGAGTTTCCCCAGGCCATGGGCTTTGCTGAAATGCCTGAGCTAGTCACAGGCTTGCTTCACTGCTGCCACACAGCCCAGTCACCCCTGGTGGCCCCACGCCTGTCGGTGTGCTGGTGAAATCCCGTGGCCACAGCTCAGAGGCAGACAGCTTCACCTTCTCTTTTTCTGGAGCACTGATCCCAGGCACAAGTGGGTGAAAGCTTCCATGATGAAGCAATGCCTTTTCTCAGACCAAAGGGAGAATTTCCTTCTCTGTCAGGTGGTACCACCATATCAACAACCCCTAAACCCTTGAAACACTTTTAAAGCAGAATTCAGAGCTTGGAACAACCTGGGACAAATCCAAGCAAAGCAAACAAAACGGGTTCAAACACACACAAATTTGTCACCAGTGAGGGTCCACTGTCGCTGGAGGAATTGTGCCGTGCCCAGCCATGGGGCTCTGCGTGCCTGCTCTACAAATGGCCTGACTCCTGCCCTGCAGGTAATAAACACTGGAGACAAAGATGACATGAAGCTTTTCTCTTTTCTCCTTGATGGGGAGGTCTGTAGATGTGGCATTAAGCTGTTTCGCCCCTGGAAGCCTGACTTGTGTGGATCACTAGGATGTGGCTTGTTTGTGAGGCAGGCTATGACCTTGAAGGACATTATTTCAAGAGAAGTGAGGCCAGTAGTGGGAAGCTGCTCTGTTTTGGAGTGTCTCTGGGGGATCAAGTAAACACAGACCATAGTATTGAAAGACAAGAAAACTAGCTTAACTGCGTCTGGGTTATTAAGAGAACTGCGGCCACTTTCACAAGAAATAGCGGGATGAAAGGCTGCAAAGTCTAGTAGAATTTGACAAGTTAGTGGAGCAGTTATGCTGGCTACAACACACAGCATAATTTTCCTAGCCCTGTTGATTTCTCCTGAACCGCATAGAGGTAACAACAGACAGTGTCTCTTCCAGCATTCCTGGAAGCACTGCACGAGGAACCACAGTGACCTGCCCCAAGTCACACAGCAAAAATTAGCTGGCAGCAGTCTGTGTGCAGTATTCATTTTCCCCTCCCTGCAATGCAGCTGTCTCTGAGGGGGCCCAGCAGTTCCTGCTCAGTGCC